GACGATACTGGCCATGGCACCCACTTCGAAGGATGACTTTTCAACTGACGACATTTCTCACAATTGTTCGCCGTACGACATATATCTGCATTTATCTCTGGCCACCAGCATGTGAGCCTTGCCAAGGACTTCATTTTCTCAACACCTAAATGACCACTATGAAGATCTTCAAGAACAGATTTACGCAATGAAGGAGGAATGACAACACGATCATTTAAACACAGAATACCATCAGGAGTAGTAGATAGCTCATCTCGCTTTGAAAAATAGATGGGAAATCTCCGTTTCAAATTAGCATTCCAACCTTTCCTTATAGCACTGAGTATACATCCAAAATATCTACGAGTTTCTCTAATGAGATCTGAACGTCTCACTGGTAAAGGTTGCACTAACAAACAATCCGAAGTAATAATAGGTTTATCTTGTAATGACTGTCGAGAAATGTAATCAACATGTTGAATCTGTTTGGCACTTCTGTGCTGAACGGTATAGTCATATGCACTCAAAGCAATACTCCATCGCTGAACCATAGCTGCTGAGGAACGTGCTAAGGATTTTTCGGGATGATAAATAAACTTTAAAGCTTCATGATCAGTAACAATAGTAAATTTCTTTCCGAATAAATATTTATGAAGTCTTTTAACAGCCCAAAACACAGCTAATGCTTCTCGCTGAGTCTGTGAATAACCTTGTTCAGTAACAGTAAGTTTTTGTGAAACACAAATAACTGGTCTACCTTCCTGTTCCAAAACTGCACCAATTCCCACAGGTGATGCATCAGTAATAAGCACAGAATGTACATTAGGGGAGTACGTTCGAAGAACAGCATCACTTTGAAGAAACTTCAGCAGACTTCGTAAGCATGACTCTTGTTCCTCACTCCATTTGAATGAATTGGATGTTAAAATATTAAATAAACAATTTGCACGACAAGAAAAATTAGGAATAAAACGAGAATAGTATTGAAGAGCACCCACTAGTGAACGTAATTCTGTAAGATTTTTCGGAGACGGTGCATTAGTCAGTGGAGCTAGTCGTTTCATATCTGGTCTAAAACCATTACCATCAACTAGGTATCCAAGGCATTCAAAACTAGATACACAAAATGAACACTTATTTGGATTCACTGTTATATTCTTCTCAATTAAACGACGCAATAAAGCAATAAGTCTCTGGTCATGAACTACCTTATTAGAGCCATGAACAATGAGATCATCTTGATAAACTTCAACACCTTCAAGATCACTAACTACATTATTCATAACTTCCTGAAATATGGCTGGAGAACAACTTAGACCAAATGGAAGGAAATTGTATTTGAACAGACCAAAAGGAGTGTTAATTGTCGTCAAAATAGATGAAGATTCATCTAAAGGAATTTGAAGATAAGCATCTTTTAGGTCAACTTTCGAGAACACTTTAGAACCATGAAGTCGATTTAGAATATCTTCAGCTTCTACCGTCGTGCACGTTTGCTTCAACAAACGGGAGTTCAGAGTTAATCTATAGTCACCGCAAATTCTAGGGGTCTTGCCGTCCGACTTCAGTGGCGTAACGATAGGAGTACCCCATGCTGAAGACTGGATTGGTTCAATTATGCCTTTCACACACAAATCGTTTAATGTCTTACGTACTGCTTCTCGAAGACCATAAGGAATTATTCGTCTTTTAAGAAAGACGGGATCACCCTGTACTTGAAGTTTTATAGGCTTAATTTTCATACCTCCACTGCATTTAGCACACATAGCTATCAAATCTTTAAGTAAAGTATCAGAATTTTCTTTAGAAACTAAGAAGGACAACTCCACCTTAAGCCTTTTCAAATTCTTTAAACCCAATATTGACAGTCCTGTTTCGCTAACTAAAAATTCACAAGGTATGTATGAAGAATTATCATCTCTGATTAGCAATTCACAACATCCTCGTATGGGCAGTCTGTGTCCAGTAATCCCCAATATTGATACTTCAGTGGGTCGTACAACAACGTTAGGATCTAAAGATTTCAAGTTCTTGAATGAAATAATGGACTCTATACTGCCTGTGTCCAGAATAAAGTCATGAAATGAACCAAGCGATGTATATAATCGCTTCTGAATATGAGCATTACCTTTCGAAATAGTGGACAAAGACAAATGATCACTAGAAACATCCGAATTATTGAAATTTAAATTACAAGATTTAGTACAGCTCGAAGCAAAATGGACAGTAGCTTTGCATACTGACTGAATGTGTCCTACCTTACCACATTTAAAACATTTAGCATTACGAAATACACATGAATTGCGAGCATGAAACTTTCCACATGATAAACATTTACCAAACTTCATCTCACCTTTGTGATTTGCTTTGTAATTCCTCGTTGAAACACCTTTCATATTTACACGAGAATAGGAATCACTGTTAAATGAACGCAAGTTTGATTGACCCTGAGATTGTAGTTCATCACGACGACTAAGCAAAGTATTAGAAATCTTCATCGACTGGATATCAAGTTCATTGACTGCTTCGTAGTTAATACATGCAGTTCTAGCATCTTGAAAGGAACAGTTTGGCATTCTTAACAGCTCTCTTTCCAAACTCGGTATGTTGATTCCTGCAATTAATCGATCTCTCAGTTGCACATGAAGTTGATCACCGAAATTACACTTGGCAGCTTGTTTCTGTAATTCAAGGATGAATTCCCGAACCTTTTGGTCATTTTGACGAACCATCTTATGAAACTTCGCCCTTTCACGGCATTCAAAACTGGTGCATTTTACATGACTTAACAATAGCTCTTTAAGAGTTGCATAAGGCAGTGAGATAGGTTTTTCTGGATATGCCAAAGTTTTTAATAAGCTGTACGCTTCTCTCCCAATGAATGTCAGAAAATGTGCCACAATTTTCTCACCTTTAACGTCTTTCTTGGTCATGCTCCAAATTTCGAACCTTTCCAAATAATCCTCAATAGCTTCAGGAGTTGAACGAATATCCAACTTTTCCATTGCAGGTTCCATCACGACGCCAATATGGTATTCTAATTGTCGTATGAATTAGGAATTCCAGGATTAACGCAATTGAATTAAGAAGACACAGGCACAACGAATGTACTGTATTTAGAATTCGAAATCCAACATTCAACAAGTACAAAAGTATCATTGGTTCATTCAAACACCACAGTTTTCGACTCCACTACTATTATATCCTAGTGAAGATTAAATTACGGGTAACTTCCGAGGACTATTAATAGACTAATATTCTATAAATATTCTTATGGTATAACTATTCAATAATTTCATTATGTATATTTATATTCCTCTTATTATAAGCTTTATTTTGACCTATAATTTATTATTGTACGATTTACGGTTCTCAAGCTGTGTTCAGTTTATTAACTACTGCCTCTCACTTTCATAGCCACATTTGGCCAAATATTGTACAAATGTTATTTTCTATTTTATGGTACGTTGTAGTCTGCCTGGTTGATATATAAAACCGAGTATGTTTGAAATAAATGATTCATATTGCAGAAGGTGCTATTGTGTTCTGAACTCAATTGGACAGGCTAGGAGGGCATAGGACCAATAAGGACGCTAGACTGTTCATACCGGTCGAACGTCATTGGTTTTGACATAGTGCAAAGATTGTATAAGTAGTATTTTGATTGGTGGATAAATTACGTGATAAAAAGACGGACATAAAGTCATAACAACTACTAGCTACTATCCATCTTTTCATGAAATGCTCGTGACTTAATGACAATATTAAGGCAATCTGCACACGATGCATATATAATTAGTTCTGACAGTATACTTCAACTATCCTTTCCAACCATTTCAACAAGTTTAATGCAACTACCCAAATATACAGTCATTATTTCACAGATCTTAAATATTATAGAAACTATCGTTAAAATATAATCTAACAATTAATTTATTGAAATGATCAAATAGTAAGTTTAATGAATAAAGCGACAACAACAAAGAGAAGAAGAAGAAGAAGAAATACTATTCAATAGAACATATGCTACTTCTTTACAGATGCCTTCGGTACCTCCTTTCTTGGCTTCTCCGTTTTACCTTCCTTTTTACAGTTCCTGAAATATATAATTAAAGTATAAAATTTACTAAATAAGAATTTTCGTTTAAATTTAATCGAATAGTTTCACAGTATTTGGGCGCCGACTTAATGTTAGACATTAAAGAGGAAGAATGTAGTGAAGTGAATTATTATTATTTATACGAATATTCGTCAAGATTAGAACGAATAGTTTGACAGAAATTGGGCACCGAGTATAGAAAAGACATTTTATGTGAAAATTATTATATTTGAAATAATCTTCGAGAAGTCCCTCAAGAAGCTAGTCACTAGTGAGCACATCTCCACAACCCTATACTGATAATTACCATGTGCTCACTGGTGACTGGTTTCGTGAGGGAATTGTCGGAGTTCTAGTGAAAAACCGTAACCAGTGGAGCTAATCCGTGTCGGGTAGAGACAGGTATCTACTTCAGTACAATGGAAGATGGTCGTGCAACTTCGTGGATTGGTTGAAGTTAGACATTAACACCATTGGGTGCCGGCTCAGTGGTCTAGTTGGTTAAGCGCCTGGCGCGAGACTGATAGGTCATGGGATCGTGGATGCGCACTGCTGAGGATTCGCATACACTAATTTCTGTCAATATAACGATGAATGTGAAATAAAGAGGTTGGATAGAAATAGGGTTCAATTATTTGTTAACAAGCATTTGCCAAGTAGCAGCTAGTTGAACACCATCCTTTCTGTTCACGCTGTTCTTATTCACCCATATATACAACACTTCTGCTATCAATCTTTCTTTATATGTGTTAAAACCTTTCTGATGTATTTTGGTCCCTTCAAAATTAATCTTGTGTCCTGTTTCTAATGCATGTAATGCTATCGCAGACTTATTCCCCAGTTTCGTTGTCATTATTATTATTAAATGAACAAATCTAATAGAAAGTTTCTTGATCTAAATCAAGTAAGTGTATAAATGAACTTACTGAAACACTTTACGTGTACCGGATTTTGCTTTGATTTCTGCTTCAGTTGGTCTTTTTAAATCAATTTTTGTAGTACATGATACATCTTTATGAATAAGTAATAGATCTTGAGATAGCGACATTTTTTCTTCATGATCTGTAATTATCATTGCACCTAAAATAAACATAGTAGAGTAAATTAGAACACTAGTAGGGACAATCAAATGTATGCGAATAGAACATTACAGATTTTTTTTTATTGAGATCATGAATCGATTGATGTGAGACCACCGTTGGAAACCTGGAAACACTGGATGGTCGTTTCGTCCTGTGGTTGGACTCCTCAATAGTGCACATCCACGATCCCGCCCCTCGGGATTTGAACCCAGGGCCCTCAGTTTCGCGCGCGAACACTTAACCTACTGGACCACTGAGCAGGCAGGCATCCAACGGTGTTAATGTCTGATATGATCTCAGTCAAAAACCTGATAATCACCACGACTCCTATACTGATAATGAACATTACAAAATTGTTTCGTAAAAAATCTGAGAACAATGTCGTAAATAATTCATTTACAAAATGTCAAACAATTGTCTCAGATCTTGTAGTTTCTTCGTCTCCATACTAATCAATATCTGTTCTCGTCCTTTTCTTTTTGATTTTTTCAAACTTCTGCCCCCAGGCACTCCCACTTTCTCTGAGTGATACATACTAATTGTATCTATCGATGACAGTAGCACACACTGCAATAGTAGAATTAGATACAATTATTATAACCAAGTGTTTGATTCTGACAAGATGGAGTTATTTTTCAGCTGTAATCACTTGAATTACTGATTAATTCATTAGTTATAATGATTAATATGATTACATGGACTGGTGGTTTTTAAGATCTTTTTTACATATGGAATTGAACATGTATGTTGACGATAATGAAATGCAATTCTACTCATATATTTACCTCTGAGAATTTGATTTCTAAAAATGTTCAATTTAATGAAATCACTCGGTGTACTGTTCGTGATGACAATGTCAGTTGATGTGTTAAAACTTTTAGAAGTCTATATAACTCACAAGAAATACGAATACCATAGTATTACAGATGAAGAGTCAATCAAAATAACTGACAATACATAATGTTGACTGTATTTAGTCAACTGTATTTCCAGTTTCTAATTTTAGTTCCTAACAAGTATACTTGGATTTGTGCCAAACCAAAATATGGCAAAAATCTATGAAGTCACTGGCAAATGGACTGAGCCATATTGGTAGGTGTAGACTATCTGGTTAAGATCCGTAAGACGATAGCAACCGGTGGTTAGAGACCTTGAATGACATGGCTCAAAATCGTTTGCAATGGCGCACGTTCATCCACTCTTTGTGCTCTCCCAAATTCTAATCTTCTGAATTCTTCATGTCCCTTTATTTTCTTCTGTTTCCAAATTTATTTCACTGGATTATACTATTTAAATAACCTCTTGAAAACCTAATCTTTCCGATTAATGCTTATACTCTTATTACCACCACCACTATGTGATTTGAATCGACAGCCACATCTCAGTGCTAATGGTGTATGACAACTCGAACTGATATACGTACGTACGAAGTTCTATGTTGTTCCTGACTGACTTGGAAGTGAGTTCTGGGTAATTGTCTGCAAATTTCAAAGCTTTTCTGTTATTCATAGAAGATCAAAGATTTAAATACTGATCCTTGTAGAACATGAATTGTTCAACAAAGTGACTATTCGTCGTTACCTATCTAATCACTTGGCCCGACATCAAGTTATTTAAATTCTTACCAATCATTACATATATATATATATAATACAGAAAGCAATACGAAGAACAATATTGAATGATTAGAATAAACTGATTCATAGACTTACCACTCTTAGTAATTACAAATGGTAGTTGATAAACATCAATCTCTTTAGTTATTGATAATTCAAATAGTATAAAGAATAGAATAATTGAATATAACATAATGATTCTGTGAAAAAAAAAGAAATAGTAGATAGTTGGTGTACGTTATTGTTATATCCTAATGAGTAGAAAAATTCGATTTTTTTTTGTTTGACGTTTCGTAACTCAATATAAGCTGCTTCTTCAGAGTAAACGGTCAAATAATCAAATCAATATTAATTCAAGTTTAAATAATACAATGGAACAACGAAAGAATATTATTTCTTGATTTAGTTCATTATTCTTTGAAGAAGTAGCTTGAATTGAGTGATGAAACGCCAAATAAAACTTATACAATGATTGAAATCTATGTATTTTACCAAATTGTAAATGATAAATCTTATCTGTAATAGATATTATTAGTATTTATATTAAATAAATAATTTACAATTAAATCGTTCCATTATTGACCATCTTGTCAGTGTCAACTTTTTTGCTGATATATATTTTTTGTCAATTTATGAATGTCAAAACTAAATTGTTAATGAATTACATAACTGTCATGTTGTTTCCTTAATTGATAGGAAACATTTCATTTGTCAAAGATATTACTTACTTATTTACTTACTTACGCCTGTTACTCCCAATGGAGAATAGGCCCTCGATCACCATTCTACAGCCCACTCTGTCCTCGGCCTTCCTTTCCAGTTCTATCCAATTCTTGCTCATTCTTCTCGTGTCTGTCTCAATTTCTCGGTGTAATGTGTTCTTTGGTCATCGTCTTTTACTTGATGCTGCTCAGATATGTAAAGGTGTTTACATCCTATAAAGTGTGATTCGATTGTTGCATGCTGTGTTGTATCGCAGAACCTTGCTTTTCCCTTTGTATATGTTGAGACCTACTGATGCTGAGGCCGCTGTCACACTGATCATCTGTGTAGTCTAGATCGTGCAGTTGCATCCCAGCTGTTCATCGTATCCCATGCTTCCCCCCCCCCAGATGTTGACATCTTCATGATACAGTTGATCACCAGGAGAAAGAGAAAGGATGAGAGAAATCAACTTTCTCTGTCATCTGTCTTTACTTCGAACGAGTCTATGAGCTGTCCTGTCAAAGACATTAGGAATCCTTAATTCATTGAAATCATCATCATGGATTACAAATATATTTTAAATGACTTGAAAAAATAGAAATTATTCATGGTAATAGATATTTAAAAGTATTTTCATTTATTGGGGATCCATAATAGAAATATGTTTTCTGTACTGTTTTATGCATAAACTAATACTTTATACAATATTTGAACATTAGCTCATTATGGAGATTAAGTTCAAGTTGGACTTCAATGTTGTATCCCTTTCTTAATTCAATCAACTGATGATATTGTACAGGATTCATTCAATACAATCAATCAATGATTAGTTAATGCTCGATAGTGTGAAATTCCACTATTCTCTACAAATCTATCCATTTACCTTGAATCCATTAACTAGTGAAGACATGTCCAATCTCACCTTACACTATGTTTTTTTTTCATTGGAATTGTTATCTAGTATTCTATACACACTTTAAATAGATTTTACAAGCATTGATACTTAGTATCATCCTTGTATAATCACTTAATCAATGTTAAGTTGTACACACAAAATGCACATAGAATAGGATACTATAGAATTCGACACCATGTACCGTAGTAGAATTATTTATCAGTAAGGTTGAATGATCATACAAAAAGTGAAGAGTTAAATATAGTTAACCGTTTAACATGAAATAAAATTATTTTACAAGTTGAAATCATGAGCCAATTGAAGCTAGACCACCATGGAAAACCTGGAAGCACTGGACAGGCGTTTCGTCCTAGTATGGGACTCCTCAGCAGTACGCATCCACGAACCCGCCCCCGCGGGATTCGAACCCAGGACCTACTGGCTTCGCGCGCGAGCACTTAACCATTAGACCACTGAGCCGGCATCCAACAGTGTTAATGTCGGCTCAGTGGTCTAATGGTTAAGTGCTCGCGCGCGAAGCCAGTAGGTCCTGGGTTCGAATCCCGCGGGGGCGGGTTCGTGGATGCGTACTGCTGAGGAGTCCCATACTAGGACGAAACGCCTGTCCAGTGCTTCCAGGTTTTCCATGGTGGTCTAGCTTCAGTTGGCTCATGATTTCAACTTGTGAAATTTCTAAAAGTCTCCACAAAACCCATTCTGATAAAAATAAAATTATATTAATGATAAACATTCCTTAGATATCAGCGTACAGATAGTAATCTTGACAGTGAAGTATAGTGGTAATCATCGTGTATTCTGACATAAGTCTAATTTACTTGTCTTGTTCACAGAAGAAGTGTATGGGAATATTTAGTTCTCGTCTGTAATGACATCGTTGAATGTGAATGGTACAAAGATGATTGACTAGTAATAGAATCAAGGACGTGCATTCCATTCCATCTGAGACTCAGAATTCAGATGCTCCTGCATCCTAGTGTTGATTTCCACATTGAAACTCGAACTCAATACCCATCTTTTCAAATATAAGAGATGTTTTCTACTGAGCTACTGAGTCCTGATATCCATCAGCTTATGCAACAGGGATGAAGTTTAATTATTCATTTGCAAGTGTTTGAATCTTTTCATTGTCGAATACTTGTGGAACAATGACAATATGGAGCCAATTCTCTCACGATCTATGTATGACAAGTGAAACCGATAGAAATCCAGTCCTCAACATCGAGAACGTTGAGTTGATTTAAATACTTGCAAACAAGTGATAAGAAACCACCAATGTTTCTAGTGTAGTGGTTAACCGCCACCAAGCCGTAACTTGAAATCCTGAAGGGAAGCGGAAAAGAGGAAGGCCAATGAGCACATTACGTCGGGAAATAGAATCAGATATAAAGAGGATGAATAACAACTGGAAAGAGCTGGAAAGGATTGAACGGGACAGGGTTGGATGGCGAATACTGGTGAGTGGCCTATGCTGCTCTACGATGAGTAACAGGCGTAAACAAATAAGTAAGTAAGTAAGTAAGTTAAAGAAATGTGGAGGAATATGGTCTACCACTCCTAATCGATACATGTGAGTTGATCAATTTTGTAATATCATTTCCTAAAGCGTTCACCGATGCGGTTGAATCCACAGAATGTTTTCAGCATGCGACACAAAGTGTTCTCACAGGCTAATCTCCCAAAATAATGTAAATGTCTATATTAATAAAATGTAGGATATAATGGTTAGTTGAAAGATCACCTTATATTCTTATGCTTTGAGAATCAGATGAATGAAGGTAATGAGGTGCAGTACTTTCTATTCACTAATACGGATCAAGTCAGCTTGACTAATATTTTCCTGAATAAAGTCGGTTTTCATGAAACTAAAAGAACCAACAACAACAATTTACTTCCCGCTCAAATTATGGCCTTGGATATAAATCTAATGGCCATACCAATCTCTATCGCCTTCATTCACCGTGTAATTTCAGTACTGCTCTGTAGATTTCTGTAGTTCTTCAAGCATTCAATCAACAATTGAAATCCGTTTAGAATAGTTACAGACGATTTACCAAGGATAGCTGCTGTAGTGACGGAAATACATCCGAATTCTCATCACCTTTTGCGGAGAGTATGGTGAATTGAAAATGTCATAAAAAGTGTATGATATTGTTTGTTTACTAATCAGCTGTAACTACAATATGGAAAATATTCAGCTGTTTTTGATGACAGTTTGTTTTCTGAGCTGGATGGTTTGGTCGTGGAAGTTTCATTGTTCTTCTGAAAAAAAAACTTCATTAAAATCATCCACCTGAGTTACAAATCTTCTCCACCATCTCATATTCAGCTCTTCTCTCAATAGATGTTACATACAAATGTGGATAGGTAAATGTTTGTACTTAAAAAATGGTCCTTAGAGTTTATATAATTATCCATCAATGATTGAAGTGTCAAATACCAGATTTCATCAACATACACATGATCGGTTATTACTGAGAAAAAAAATAGTCAAGCGTTTTTCAACAAAATGCTCATATTCGTGAACAAAACACTACCAATATCATAGAAGGGACATACACAATTAAGGAGCTTTAATGATTGAAAAGAAACACAGTGTACTCAAATTTGCCATAAGAAATCGTTCATCATAAAGCATACGGTCATTAGAAAACTTAATGTTCCAGATAAAGAATGTGTATCGATTAGGTACTAAGGAACAGATAAAAGGTCTGTTTTAATATCACTGGTAAGTAGATTTGAATGTACTTCTGTTTTTTGATTCGGTGGTGGTATAGGTACGTGTACTACATAATAACTTACGAATAATAATAATAATAATAATAATAATAATAATAATAACAATAATAATAATAATAATAATAATAATAGTGTGATTGTAGATCACAACTCCGCCTGTAGCTCTTCTACAGTTACTGCCGGTCCCAAGCCCGAGTAAAGGAGGAGGGTTGGGTATGGGGTTAGCGACCCCTTCCCGTAGAAAACTAACTCGCTAAAAAAATGCTAACCCGATTATAGATCACACTTTAGCAATACATTTTCATGGTTCATTAAATATCGGCATCATATAATGAACACTACTTACTGTAATTAGAGTATATGTACACGTAAATTACAATTCTTATTAATAATAATGACTAATGACTTGGCAAATCAAGAAATTATATGGAAATAAAACCAAGCTGGAATCAAGAGCAACTTTATTGGTCCTTTATCTGACTCCAGTAATATCATATGATTGATTTTTATCGAAATATACATGTCGACTATCCCTGTATGTAATTATCAACTTAACCGACATCTTTGATTGAGATCATGGACCGATTGACATGAGACCACCATTGAGAACCTGGAAGCACTGGACGGCTGTTTCGTTTTATCGTGGGACTCCCCAAAAGTGCGCATCCACAATCACACCCGCGCGTTTTGATTTTATGACATCCAATTGATGAGCAGACGAAGATTGTCAGAACCATGTGATGATATATTTGCGCAATATATTTCGAACAATCTGATCGCACACATATACATGTTCAGAGCATTTGTGTATAAAAATAAATGGTCAACTAGACTAGAAACGGAGGGTAAGAGGAGACAAGGAAAATAATGTGAAAACAATTTGAAACCATGTCACTCTGAATAATAAGCTAATATTACCAGTTTAGGTTTAAGGTGAGAACAAACTATTTCTGAATGCACAAAGCGGGTTTGAATTTTCCTATGACTGAGGCTTCAATAAACCTTAGTATACGCCGTTTTACACTTTTGTACAACATCACAAAAGCCGAGTTAAGATCAATCATATGACCTATTTCAATTATGTGTTTGGTAACAAAGGATGATCGATGTTTATCCTCGACTGTTATTAGGTTATCTGATTGTATTTGTTACTAATCTTTGTTGATAATCTTCATCTTCTTATTACACTGTTGAAATGAACTTCTTAAGTAAAACATTATCAACAATCAATATTTTTCTAGCATACAATTTAACTTGTCATCTATTTCATATAATTGAACTGAGATTATATAATCTAGATTCAATCTTCAAAGTCATTTAGGATGAATCTGATGTGAACAGGGAAACAAGAAGCCCTGACAAACTACGAAAGCTATTTTTCGGGACGTTATTTCATTTTATGCAAAGCTTGTAAAACACTAATATTTATTTTTGTTCCCAATCTATTCTACAGAACATAAGCTTTCGTTCGATTTATGATTCATTGCCATACTCTTTTCTGTTCCGAAGCTATTGTCGTTAAAACATAATATTTTGCACCCAGTTTTCCTCTCTAATTCCCAGATTTGGACATAATTGTATTTTTCCTAATTACTATACGTTGTAGTCGATTTAGTCACCTATTTATTTATGTACCTTTTTACACTAATCGAAATAAGGGAAATCAGAATATCAGGAATAGATCGAGTGGTGTTCCAGTTGTCTTGTCTTCTCCCATTCGCGTGCTTGTCAGCCAATCAGGTGATAAAATAGTTCTCTTCTCTCTACCCCACTTCGAACTCAAGGTTAGGTCGCTCAGCCTATCGTGCCAAGGTTTTAATCTGGATTAGATAAGTATCCTCAGCACCCAGAGTGGGTAGACAGACCAAAGGACATAACAGAATCTCATTAGGAATTGTAATACTTTATGGAATTTGTACACATTCTGAGATAAATATTACACTTGATAATAATAATAATAACTATTGTGTATGTTGACATTAACCCTAAAAAACTGGAAAAAAAAACTCAACAATACAAGGTATTTTAACAAATATTGAAATTACATCACCGTTAAGTTAGTTTAAATATTACAAGTACAAATAACAGTCACTTTTTTGATTGATTTGGAAACATTTATATTGATAAATTTATATTTTATATAATGGATAGGTACTGATCTTTGAGATGGTGGAGAAGATTTGTATCTCAGGTGGATGATTTTGGTGGAGCTCAGAGAACAAAACTCCACCAAAAGATACTGATCTTATCTACATCATTAATAAAATCTATTCAGAAGGGGTTTTGTGGAGATTGTAATAATTTCAATCATGGAAAGCCTGAAAGTACTGGAAGACCGTTTCGTCCTATTATCGTACTCCTCAACAGTGCACATCCACGACCCCGCCCCACAGGATTCGAACCCGGGACCTATCAGTCTACCTATTCATCCATACTAACGGTACAATGACTCGATTATTCTACTAAAGAATTCTTGATTATGCCATAATACTGATCGTATATTTTTGGACCGGAAAGCAAGTGAAGTGAAACTTGTCACGTGCATTAACTCTGGTTAAATTGAAATAGAGTTTTGGGAGTTTAATTTGACGTCGGATGAGTGAGCGAATTCTTGACTGAGTAGTGTTTGTCCTGTTATTGTAATACACTAATTCATGCAATGCTCCTTAAGTACAGTTCATTTCCCATTTGATAAATTGAATATCTGAACAGAGTCGTTTTAAACAAGGATGGATAGTGACTAACACTGGAATCCAAGATTCATGTTTCGTCCTACTTGGAACTCGTCAGGTGAATATACCTGCATCTCCGAGTTGATGTTCACTCTGGGATCGTTCGCTTCAAACGCTATCATGTTACTGAGCTTACGAGTCCAAAATAGGACGAAACACGTGTCAAACTGGATTCCATTGCTAGCCACTATCCATCTATGCACATATGCCGATAAGAGGTTGATCAATTGCAGCCTTAAACATCAGTGGGAAGATTCAAGCAAACAATACCAAGTGAATTTAGAAGCATTTTAAGATTAAAGAGTTATATCTAAATTGGTTTTTGAGTTGGAATCCATCAAATAGTTAGTTCAGTCGTATTGTGCTGTTTGCTACTTACGTTTGTCAACATAAGTAATATATAACACCAGTCAGAAATGGAACACCTGGGAGCAGAAGGTTAAGAAGATCTAACTCAAGAAAATAAAAAGGGAAATAGAAAGGAATTGAGAATTGGAGAAATCAGTGAGGGTGTAACGTACAATTGATAAAGGATTTGCAAATGAAGTTCTTAACGTATGATTTTCATATTTTATGGAACAACTCTGTAATTTTGCATTAGACAATAAAATGGTTGTCCCCACCAAGTCTTCGTTCACTATAGTACTACTTAGATGTAAGCAGTGTTGATGAGAAGCAGTATAGGTGGATCTTTCAACTGTGTTAACATTTTCAAATGGTTACTTTCACTAAGAAAAACATTATCCACTTTCAGTTGCTGAATAACACTTTAATTTTAAATTATTCGAACAAACATATATCATGTTTAGCATTTAATTCACTCACATATATCTATGCTCAGATATAACTGGTCCATCTCTGATACACAGAATGGTGAATATTCAACTGGTCACTCATCATACAATTACATTACTGAAGTCGACTATACGATAACGATAAGTTTTACTATGAACTATGCAATTCACTAATCCTGATTAACGATTTCCAACTCTTTGATCACTGAGTAGTGACCAATTTCCTGATCTCCAAGTCCTTCTAAATGTTTTCCTAATTCTAGCGGTCAACTTGCCGTGTGGCCATTAGTCTAAATGACCCGACTTCGTGTGATCTATGACAACATATTAGGTGTTCAGAGTTAGTCGACAGGAAACTGTGGACTCAAGTTTCATGCTCCTTTGAACTTATTATTCATGACACTAATTACTAGGAAGATTATCAAAGATCATACTTATTGTTGATCAACTGTAAACTGTCAAGGAATACAACAGAAAATCATTTAGTATTAAAACATTTTATTTCTTCTTATTGAATTGTATATGCAAATTACAACCAGAAAATGTAATTTAACAATAAAGACAATAATCCAGTAATTGAATGGTAATTTTCATCTCAGAAAAGAAATCACTTTTTCTTCATTGTCGTATTCGTTGCTTCTACGCTTTCTGTACTTTCATCATCTTCAATCTCCGTTTCACATACCCTTGAGAAGAAAAACAAAAGTATATTCTCAAAATGTCCAAAAGTGCTTAAGCAATGAATTAATTACATTTTATTTAACAGAATTTTAAAAGTTTGTTCAATACCATTATCAATTAGATTCACTTGGTATTGTTTTACTTGAAACTTCCTATTGATGTTTAGGACTGCAATTGACCAACCTCTTATTGATATCTGTGCATATTGTGTGGATTGCTTCTATATTGCCTTGAGTCACAAGCATCATAACCAAAGTTGGATAGTGGCTAGCAATGGAATCCTGTTTGACACGCGTTTCATCCCATTTGGGACTTGCCAGCTGAATGAATCTACATCTCAGAGTCGATGTTCACTCTAGTTCAATACATAAACTACCCTTTCTAAAGGTATTTTGTTATATGATGATGTCGTCTAGAAGGTGAACAAAAATTTCACGGCAAATCACTAGAGCTCAGGCAACACAGTTCCTCTAAAATTCCCATACTCAGTAACAAATATTCATTATGGATTTTATAACTTACACTTGCATTAAACGAATTCCTTTTCTTTCATTTTTCTCTTTTTCATTTGGTCTCGAAAAGTCGATATTGGTTTGGCATATATCATCTATTACTGTTAAATTCAATTTCCCATTTAAAGTATAATTATATCCATTAATCGTTAACATCATGGAACCTATGTATTAAAAAAGTAAGAAAGGAATTAACATTAATTTGATGTTAACTACTGAATTGGTTTCAAGTAGTCAACTTGATTGATTCTTCATTAGAAATTGCAATGCTATTATTTCTGTCCTAGTATGGGACTCCTTAGCAGTATGCATCCACGATTCCGCCCCCCGCGAGATTCGAACACAGGACCTATCAGTCTCGCGCGTGAGCGCTTAACCATTAGACCACTGAGCCGGCATCCAACGATGTTAATGTCTAACTTCAACTAATCCACGATATTGCTGAGGAAGAAACGGCCGTCTAGTGCCTCCAAGTTTTCAATGGTGGTATAACATTTATCCATTCATGATATCAATCTAAACTCTCCACTCTCTATAACCCTATACTCATCTTACTATTCTCTTTCTAATATGTTTCCTGGAGATGGATACTGATTCAAAACATTTCACCTAATTCAAAATGCTATCATTCAGATTTATTCATATTAATCGCTGGAAAATTCCTATTATTATAAGAAAACAATAATATGAACGAAGACTATTCTTTTCAATAATTCCTCATCAGGCTCTACAACTATACATATCCACATTAATAATCCATAAAATTGGCCAGGTTTAAGGCAAAGTAAATCATTTAATACTTGTTACATATGAATTAAGGATTGTTATTTGTCATGGAGGAGAAGATTTGTAGCTCAGATGGATGATTTTGATGAAGTTTTATCCTCTGAGCTGGATAGTTTGATCGTGGAGCGTTCATCGTTCTTCTGAATGACATCATCATCAGCAAAAACTTCCACTTGAACTACATATCTTCTCCTCCATGACAAACAACAATCCTTAATGTACATGTTACAACTTTAAATGATATACTCAACCTTAAACTTGACCATTTTTATGAATTACTAATTTGGATATGATAATTATAAAGTATCTGAAAAGAAATTCATTGAAAAGAATATTCTTCATTTATTCTTATTAACTATTTTGTATATCATTTGATACTTACCATTTTTGTCGATTATAAATGGAGCATCAAAAGTTTCATGTTTTCTGGCAATTGTTAAGCTAATGAAAGTTAAACACATCAAAGATAAACGAATCATTTCTTATCTAAAATGTAAAAAAAACATACTTATTAGACGGAGAAGAACATGAACAAGAAGAAGAACAAGAAGGAGAAGAACAAGAAGAAGAAGAAGAAAAAGAAGGAGAAGAAGAACAAGAAGTGGAAGAACATGAACAAGAAGGAGGAGAAGGAGAAGGAGACGGATAAGAAGAAGAAGAAGAAGAAGAGGGAAAAGAAGAGGAAGAAGAGGAAGAAGAAGAAGAAGAAGAAGAAGAAGAAGAAGAAGAAGAAGGAGGAGAAGGAGAAGAAGGAGAAGAGAGAAAAGAAGAGGAAGAACATCAACAACAACAAGGAGAAGAAGAAGAACAACAACAAGAAGAAAAAAAAGAACAACAACAAGAACATAAACATATTGTAGAATTGAAACTTTTACACTTTTAATTTACATTCTCAAATAGGAATTATTCATAGATAAATGGTTCATTATTTATAATTACATAACCATTAGATTTGAACCAATTAAAATTTATGTAAATTAACTGGATTGATTCTCCCCCCCCCCCGTCTTCAAGAAACAATATTGATTAGATGTTTAGTTGATTTATTATTTGACATAAAGGATCAAATGAATATTTCTCATATATTTAATAGATTAACAGTTTAAGATCATGAGTCAATTGAAGTTAGATCACTATGGAGAACCTGGAAAAAGAAGACAAACAACTATGAATGAATATATATAAACTGAAAATTATTCATTAGGACTTAGGAGCTAAATGGATAACACAATGGTGTTTGAAGTGAATTACTCATAACAACAGTAGTGTTTGTCTTGTTTGCTCTTATAACAAGATTGCTTTCCTGTTTTTACATAGTTGTTTTAGAGCATATATTTGTTCTTTAGATAGATTAGGAGTATTCAGTTTTTGATTCAACAATACAGCTGTGATAATGTGGTGTGTGCTACTGATCTCGATACATATAAGTAGTATGTATCATTAATAGAAAGTCAAATGCCTGTAGGCAGAAGGTTAAGGAGATCGAAGAAAAGAGAACGAGAACAAAGAATAATTGATATGGAAACGAAGGAACAATCAAGTCTGAGATGATTGATTGCTATTTTACAAATGAAGTATTTACTATATGATTATTAGATTTTATTAAGACATTCTGTAATTTGTATGTTCAGATACATTGGATGATGAGATGGTGAAGAAGATTTGTAGCTTCCATTGTTCTTGTAAACGACATCATCGGCAAAAACTTCAAATGTAATTGCTGATGATGTTATTCAGAAGAACGATGAAAGCTGTACGACTAAACCATTCAGCTCAGAGAACAAAACCCCACCAAAACATTCAGTTGTCCCCACTTGTTTGTTCTTGTTCACCATGTAGTAAATGTACACAACTCTACATCACTATTATGAAACAGTTAAATACTTTGAGCATATTGTTCATTACATTCAGAATGAAAATACTAATTTTAAATTCTTGAAGTTAGATAATATCCATCTATATTGAAATTTGTTCAATTGTCTCTGTCCCTCCCTTAGTTGAGACAAATTACCTAACATTTTATTGAACTAACCGCGAAAAGAGCACTTCGATAGTGAAAAGGATATATTATGTTGGTAATAACTCATATAGTATTGTAGAGTATTATTTCATATCTATATTGACTTATGTACATTTGAGATCATGAATTGATCAATGTTAGATCATGATTGTAAACTTGGAAGCATTGGTTGGCCGTTTTGTCCTAATATGGGACTCCTGAACAATGCACATCCACGATCTTACACGCAGAAATGGCTGTCCAGTACTTCCAGGTTTACAGCGGCGGTCTAAAATTGATCGCCTCATAATATCAATTACAATTCAACAATCTCCACAACCCATATACTGATAACTAAGTACATTGACTTATTATTTACTTGGTCAAATAAATTATTCTTCAGTTTTGTAGGCTGATTTATATTGAAGATATTTCATCTGTAGATCTTTATCAACTAAGAAACTACTGAAAACAAAGGTGTGCTCTACAGTTGTTTCATATTACTATGCAACTCCTAAGTAGAACTAACGTTCAAATTCTTCAGCTATCGTTGTTGTTACTATCAGTTTAAATATATATGTACGAAAGAGTACGTTCGAATGATATGAAAGTAGATATTTAAGAATTTTATTATTCGTTCTCAAGACAACTTGTGCTTCCAAAAACCAAGTGGTTTTCCTAGTTTTTATTAACAAGCTATATTTTAGATATGGGATGTGTAATAAGAATTGAATAGATTGAGTTTACTTTAAAAAATCAATGAACAGGATAATCCTCCAAGCTCACTAATGACTAGCTACGTGAGAAAATTCTCGGAGTTCTAGTGAGAAGCTGTGACCAGTGGAACTAATCCGTGTCGGGTAGAGGCAGACATCTATCTCAGTACAATGGAGGATGGTTGCACAATTTTGTGGATTGGTTGAGGTTAGACATTAACACCGTTGGATTCCGGCTCGGTAGTCTGGAGGATAAGCGTTCACGCGAGAGACTGAAGGACCTGGGTTCGAATCCCGCTAGCGGGATTGTATATGCGCACCGCTGAGGAGTCTCACACTAGGACAAAACGGCCGTCTAGTGCTTCCAGCTTTACAGTGATGGTCTAACATCAATCGGTTCATAATCTCAATAAAAAACATAAAAATTAGGAAACTGAAACCAGGTCTTTATTTCTGAAGCGAATACATGAGAACAAATTTCAACCATTTAGTCAAAAAGAAAGCAAGTAATATGAAAAATTTAATTGTGATTATAATTCAATGAGTTCAAATACGAACTCATGTCCCAATAAACCTTATGTATAAAATGGATGGAATGAAGTTAGATGTGGAATTTGAAACGTGCGTTTTGTCCCATTTGGGACTCTTCAGCCATGTTATAATGGATATATCCGAGAGTGCTTACAATCCTGAAAGACATGACGATACGTGTGTTCGTCTTGAAGTTAGATGTGACCCAAATACCTCAAAGACAACGTATCAGGCCCTGAACCTAGGGAGGGACGCATTCTTGTTTCAAAGCAAGGATCAGTTTATTTAAGATTGTAAGTAAGCATTGTTGACGAGTGCTAAATATCACGGAACCCTTTGCCTAGGGCTTTTACCGACCGCCTGAAATTACGTAATTTTCCAAATTAGTTCACTTGACCCCGAGGCACTTATAATAATAATAGTTATCATTATTATTAGCTTTATGCAGTGTTATGTTTTCGGTACAATATAGAGTTCTTAGTTTAAAGTATTTCAATAAGTTTCTTTATTTTTTGATCGACCCTTGTGATAAATATCGAGTGGTTGCCAGTTAGATACTATCAGTTCAGAAATCGACATCTGATTAATGTGTCTTCCTTTCTAAGCATATTGCCAGCAACCACGACGTCTCTGATTGGGCTCTTTTGTAACTTGTAAGCGAAATGTCGTGAACTTTTCCCACACCTAAATAGATTATGTGATTAATAGGCATAATGATGTGTTAAAACAAAAAAACAGATAACTTGTTGAAATATCCAGATGGTAGGAACAGGTAGCCCAAATATTCAAGCAGGCCGTATTGCAGCTTGAAGGATTAGATATATATAACATCGGTCATTTTATTGGCTGTATTTCACAGCCGTGAAACCATATAGAGTAGATTGTAATTATAATATATTCTGATAATAATTATTACATAATTCATTCCAGTTTAACCCCGTCTGGAGACCCTCTGGGACTACTGCCGGTCCCAAGCCTTGATAAAGTAGGAGGGTTGGGTATGGGGGTTAGCGACCTCATCGCGTAGACAACGAACTCGCTAAAAAATGCTAACCAGAAAAAATTATTCAAACCATTTAAGTAAGTAAGTAAGTAAGTAAGTAAGTAAGTAAGTAAGTAAGTAAGTAAGTAAGTAAGTAAGTAAGTAAGTAAGTAAGTAAGTAAGTAAGTAAGTAAGTAAGTAAGTAAGTAAGTAAGTAAGTAAGTAAGTAAGTAAGTAAGTAAGTAAGTAAGTAAGTAAGTAAGTAAGTAAGTAAGTAAGTAAGTAAGTAAGTAAGTAAGTAAGTAAGTAAGTAAGTAAGTAAGTAAGTAAGTAAGTAAGTAAGTAAGTAAGTAAGTAAGTAAGTAAGTAAGTAAGTAAGTAAGTAAGTAAGTAAGTAAGTAAGTAAGTAAGTAAGTAAGTAAGTAAGTAAGTAAGTAAGTAAGTAAGTAAGTAAGTAAGTAAGTAAGTAAGTAAGTAAGTAAGTAAGTAAGTAAGTAAGTAAGTAAGTAAGTAAGTAAGTAAGTAAGTAAGTAAGTAAGTAAGTAAGTAAGTAAGTAAGTAAGTAAGTAAGTAAGTAAGTAAGTAAGTAAGTAAGTAAGTAAGTAAGTAAGTAAGTAAGTAAGTAAGTAAGTAAGTAAGTAAGTAAGTAAGTAAGTAAGTAAGTAAGTAAGTAAGTAAGTAAGTAAGTAAGTAAGTAAGTAAGTAAGTAAGTAAGTAAGTAAGTAAGTAAGTAAGTAAGTAAGTAAGTAAGTAAGTAAGTAAGTAAGTAAGTAAGTAAGTAAGTAAGTAAGTAAGTAAGTAAGTAAGTAAGTAAGTAAGTAAGTAAGTAAGTAAGTAAGTAAGTAAGTAAGTAAGTAAGTAAGTAAGTAAGTAAGTAAGTAAGTAAGTAAGTAAGTAAGTAAGTAAGTAAGTAAGTAAGTAAGTAAGTAAGTAAGTAAGTAAGTAAGTAAGTAAGTAAGTAAGTAAGTAAGTAAGTAAGTAAGTAAGTAAGTAAGTAAGTAAGTAAGTAAGTAAGTAAGTAAGTAAGTAAGTAAGTAAGTAAGTAAGTAAGTAAGTAAGTAAGTAAGTAAGTAAGTAAGTAAGTAAGTAAGTAAGTAAGTAAGTAAGTAAGTAAGTAAGTAAGTAAGTAAGTAAGTAAGTAAGTAAGTAAGTAAGTAAGTAAGTAAGTAAGTAAGTAAGTAAGTAAGTAAGTAAGTAAGTAAGTAAGTAAGTAAGTAAGTAAGTAAGTAAGTAAGTAAGTAAGTAAGTAAG